ACCCAAACCACTGCAATTTTGGGATGCACTTGGTAGCATGACATTTATTTGGAATAAAGACTTCTGAGTTCTGGTGCATTTCTGCGTGCGGGGGTCATTATGTTACCACTATGGGGCATCTAGTTTTGCCAATTTTTGTGTACAGTTTTGTGACTTTCGTCTGTAATTATAAGCTAAGTAAGTCACTCAGTTGCAGGACTACTGAGTTAAATTGTAGTGTGGTAGTAGGTGAGCATCATCATCTCCAACAGACACTCTAACCATGACACCTCCTGACATTGTGACGTAACCAATTAATTTACAGGCTTTGATTAAAATCGCTAAAAGTCAACCAACGTAAGATCTGGTTTTCGAAGCAGCTGTGATGTTTTGGTGACCAAACTTTGTGCTAACATTATATTTTGTAAGGTTTTCTGTACTGAATGGTAAAACCTTGGACTGTAGTTTATTAGTACAAAAGCTTCACCACACAGACAACGACTCATGAGTATTTCTCTTTCGTTTCACAGCCATGAAACTTTGCACAGAAGAGTGTCGTGTTCTGGGTCACTCAGACCAGTGCTGGATGCCCCCCCTGGCCATACAAGCCTCATCCTCCACTGACTACAGAAGCAACCTCTACATTCCTGGGGAAGAGGCCCACCAAGCCCCTGACGTCTCTCAGGAAAAGATCCCTCAACCCTGCACCGAGACCTGCACCGCCAGGAACCAGAGCTTCTCCACCTTCGGGAAGGACCTTGGTGGGGAGGACGGCGGCGAAGAGGAGGGTGGGGGAGGAGGTCCATGTGAAGAAGGAGATGAAGATCTGTGTGGAACCACGTCGTTGCTGTCAGAGATGAGCAGTGTGTTCCAGAGGCTGCTTCCACAGGGTCTGGATTCGTACATTCAGGTCAATGAGAACCAGAAGGGGACAAGCCTGAGCGGGGTCAGCGTACCCATGACGGGGTCTTTAGACCGCAGAAGAGGCCACCTACCGGGGAAGCCGAGTCCATCCGTTCACCAGCAGGGTGTGGCAGCCTGGGCGGCCAACACTCACTTCCAGAATCCAGGAAGCAGCATCTGTGCTTCTGGTCAGCACCAGGTCGGCAGCTACCACACCCTCAAACCCAACATCAAGCTCAGCTCCCAGAGCAGCAGCCACAAGGGGTCGCAGGTGCCCAAAAACAGTCCCCAGAACAGTGGGCACGCTCCCAAAGCCAACGTTAGTCCTCTGGGGACAGGACTGGTCAACCCAGCCATGATGCAGCCGTCCCTGACCCCGGCCACAGTGCCAGTCCCAGCCACCGGGCCCACCTCCAAGTGGCTGCCAGCCATGGAGGAGATCCCAGAGAACTACGAGGAGGATGACTTTGAGTCGGTCCTCAGCCACCTCCAAGGCAAACGCAGCGACAGCCGGCACGAGCTGGTGGACGCCAGCGAGCTGGTGGCTGAAATTAACAAACTCTTACAGGACGTTCGGCAGAGCTAGATGCTCTGTTTTATTTATTTCTACACGTTCACTGCCTCTTTTTATAAAGAATAAACATGAGGTGAGTAGATTTTAATAGAAGGAAAAAAAATCGTAACTTGAAAAAACTGACTAAATAAAAGACGTGCAATGGGGTTGGGCGATAGGTTAAAGTTTTTTTCATTAGCCATAGCTGATGCAACCATCGATGATGGGTGACACATCTGAGGCAGCAGGGGGTTAGAATGAGGTTCTTTGTTGTCATTGATTTTTTTTTTTTGTGTGTGGGATGGTGGGGGTATTAATACAGTATATTACTGGATTGGGCGTGGCTAGCGCGTTGCTAGCTACATTAAGCACTGAGGAGTCGCACCAAAATGAATGGAGGTCAATGGACTGTGAGGTGTCTTCCTGATGAAAAACTCTTATAACTTCCTTATTTCTTGATCAATTTTTACAAACTATGATTCAAAATAAAGCTGAGATAGCAGCAGACAAAATCGATTTTAAAAAAGGTTAAACATGATCATTGAAAATTTCTAATGTTAGCATACAGGTTTTACAATTAAAATAATTAATTTTGGTTAAATATGCATTATATTTACCTGTGAAACAATCTTTTTATCTCTTGTAAACATGTTGTAACAATTTCTGCAGTTTATAGCAAAGTATCTGTACCACTTGTACATTTATAAAGCATTTGTTTGCACCGCGCTACGTTATGCTCATTGATTTCAATGGTTAGCGTTAGCATTAGCTCAATGCATAAAAGTCCCCCTTGCGAAGCCACGCCCAGGTCATGTGACACCCAGTCCAGTAATATACATCAATGGGTGGGGGTGTCAGTGTTCACCAACTGTAAAGGTAGGCTATTTATAGCCAAAAAGAAAACAAACAGATTTAAAATATGAACTTTTGACAATAAATTTACCAGATCTGTGCTTTCATTAGAAGCTGCAGCAAACGTCCCTCCGAAACAAACATCATGTATTTTTTTACAGCACACATTAGTTTTAAATGTCAAAACCTTTTTTTTATTTTTAAATAGGTAATCAACAAGATGTAAAAAGCACAGAGCAAAGTGACATTTTATTTATTTATTTATTTATTTGTGTCTGATTTTTAGTTTTCCATTTTTGTCCTTAAATGTTATTTTGGCTGATTCTAAAAGCAATCTGGATAATTTTTTCCAAATTAAAGTAGTAGAAAAACTGAATTTAGTTCCTTAGAAACTCTACCTTCTGATACATGGTGAATCCTGTGATTTTGTTTGTGCAAATATTTCTCTGAAGTTGTTCCTCTTACTTTTATCCTGTCATTTTGATTTTAAAAATGTGAGGCTTTGCAGCTGGAAATGAATTATTTGGACTGCTCACAACCCAAGTGCATGTGATTTATTTACAGATCAACACACTTCAAAGGGAAAGTTAAATTAGCTCTGATAAGCTCCACTGGCCGATGGTTGACCGTCACCCATCGCCCAACCCTAACGTTCAGCTGTCATTGAAGTTGCATTTTGACTAAAGTAACTGTGTTTTGTGAATGCTAAATATCCAAAAAAAATGTTTGTTTAATGCTGGTTTGGTACAAAATGTACATATGTGGCAGTATTTATCTTTGTATTTTAAAAATACACTTGTATACTTATATTTATAATTATAAAAAAACTGTAAATAAACTTAATCAAATTCTATTTTTTTATTTAATGCATGTTGAGTATAAAAAAGCATTGAATCAAAACTTTGACATGCGGTCGACATTCTGCATATTTAAACTGTTTTTTGTATTGTACTTTTTTATTTGTCACTATTGTATGTATTCATGAGTATATTACTGAATTATTGTATACTTGTCTTTGTGATTTACGGGGGGGGGGGGGGTGTTAGACAAATAAACATCATACAAAATCCTCAGTGTCGGTTCTTTATGTTCATGTTTGAGTTAGAAGTTGAAGAGGATTTATTTTGGTCTTTAGAACAGACTTCCTGGAGTTCAACCAGGTTTTTATGACCTAAAGCCATATATTATTCTAGAAATAAAAGTAAAAAGCAGATAATTCTCATCAGTGGCGTCACTAGGCCTATTTCAGAGAACTGGAACCCCCCTAAAATATTTTAAAGCCCCCCCCCCAAAAAAATTGTAAAATTTTACACCAAAACTTTACAATTTTGGTGTATTTTTTTTAAACAAAAAATCAACATGATGTGGTCAGAATAAATAACCATTTAATATTCCATTATTAACTAAAATATATGATCATAAATCTGTCAGTTTCCCTTTAATTTATAGTGTAAGGTAGAGATCCTCTTTGGTGCATCGTTATCCAGTCCATTCCACTTGTTCATATAGAGACACAAGGCACAAGAGGCAGTCTACTCACATATACATTATATATATA